CTGCTGAGGAACAGAGTCCTGTACACAATCTCACAGATGAAGAAAAAGCAGCAGACGTCATCGGTGATGACATCACAGATGAGGATAAAGTGGAAGCGGAACACAGGGAGGACGTACAGAAAAAAGTCTCAGCCAAAATTTTCTCTGGTGAGAGATGAAAATCTATCTCATGAGTTGTATTTGCTACCATTCAGATACGAGTATTTTCAAACTGTGTCTTCCTTTCTTTTTTTCCCTTCCTGCTAACTATATGCAAATTGATGGGAAAAAATACTGCAGTAAATCAAACATTTGAAAATTTTGGTAGATTATATTTTCTCCTTCATCTCAACTCAATTTAACCAATGGTTTGAAGAAACATAACAAAATAAAAGTGTCTTCTTATTAGCACTGTGGGATAAAATTTATACATTCAATTTGAAATACACATGTAAAGTTGTAAACAGCCTTTATAGCTCATCTCAACGGAGTTGGGGGAGCTTATGTAATACCCTCGGCGTCGGCGTCCTCATCGGCGTCCCGGGTTACGGTTAAGTTTTTTGGAGCAGTTTTCTTTTTAAGTACTTCTATGTCCTATATTGATTAGACATGCATGTTTCTAGTGTGTTTCATTGTACCAGTCAAAGTTTCAGATGCTGCAATTTCAGCAAAGGAATAACCAGGTTAATGTTTTTGGAGCAGGTTAACATTTTTGGTGCAGTTTTTGGTGTAGGTCTCATTTCTGAGTAACTATAAGCCCTATGTTGACCAAACTTGCATGGATGGTACATCTTAGGATGCACACTACCAGGCTTGCTTCGGATGCTGAATCTTACCTACATTTTCCGCATGAGTGAACAGGTTTATGTTTTTGGTGCAGGTCTCATTTCCAAGTAACTATGAGCATTATAGTGACTAAACTTGCATGGATGATAAATCTAAGTATGCATACTACCAGACTTGCTTCGGATGCTGAATCTGACCTACATTTTCTGGTTGAGAGAACAGGTTAAAGTTTTGGGTGCAGGTTTCATTTCCAAGTTACTATGAGCCCTATAATGACCAAACTTGCATGGATGGTACATCTTAGGATGCATATTACCAGACTTGCTTCGGATGCTGAATCTTACCTACATTTTCCGCATGAGTGAACAGGTTTATGTTTTTGGTGCAGGTCTCATTTCCAAGTAACTATGAGCACTATAGTGACCAAACTTGCATGGATGATACATCTTAGGATGCACACTACCAGACTTGCTTCGGATGCTGAATCTGACCTACATTTTCTGGTTGAGTGAACAGGTTAAAGTTTTGGGTGCAGGTTTCATTTCCAAGTTACTATGAGCCCTATAATGACCAAACTTGCAAGGATGGTACATCTTAGGATGCACACTAATGGACTTGCTTCAGATGCTGAATTTGACATACATTTTCCAGATAATGGACACCTCGTAAAAGTTATGGATGCAGGTCTATTACCAAGAAACTATAAGGCTTATATAAGCCAAACTTGCACAAATGATGCATCAAGGGATGAAAACTCTCAAACTTGCTTCAGATGCTGGATTTTAATTACGTTTTCATGATGGAGAACTAGTTTGAAGTTTATATATAGGTCTATTCCAAAGTATAAAATCAAAATTGCATAAATTTTGCATTTTTGGATGTACACTTTTTGTTGGTTAATTGTGTGACTTTGCCTTACTTAAAGACAACATTCGCTGAGGTGAGCTCTGTAATCTCTGATTACCTATGTTTTATCTATTTCTAGGTGTGAGACAATCCAAGTTTAAACACCTGAAGTGTAAGACCCTCCACCGCAGTACACACATTGAAAACATCAGGAAGCTGGACAGGACAGTACCGGGGGAGAGTAATTTCTTCGTCGCCAACAAAGCACGGTGTGTTGTCCCCATCGAGGGCTCAGGGGGACTCCTCTCAGTTTTTGAGGTAAATTTTGCTTGAATGATTATAGTTTAAAATTTGGTCAATTGTATGTTTTACTGTAGATCACTTAACTTTCGCGACACTTTATTTTCGCGAGATAGTCATTGACTCTTTATTAGCGAGACAAAATTTTCACGAATTTTGGTCATTGCTTTATATAATCTTAAGGAATTCTATTATACGCGAGAATAAAATTTTCGCGAGCATATCCTCTCACGTAATTAAGCGAAAATAAAGTTCTCGCGAATAAAAAGTGATTTACAGTAGTTGATAATATTCAAAGTTTTAATTTTTCAAAACGCCCCCTGAAACATTTATAATATTCAGACAGAGAAATTTAACGTTGTGTAATTTATCCATCATAAGCAAAATGAAAATAAGATTCATATTTTTTATATATATTATTGTAGGTAAGTCATTAGATGAAAATAAGACTCATATTGTTGATATTGCATGTATATATTATCACTGAGACTTAATTAAAATTGTTTCAGAAACATGTTAAATGAAAATTGGTTTGCATTGTAAATTTTGTGTCATTTTGAGCCATTAGAATAATCTCTTAACATGTATCTGTAGCTGAATAGTCCTGGTAAGCTTCCAGACACAGGTATACCAGTCCTAGAGCACCATACTAAGGTTACAGATTATGCCTGGGATCCTTTTAATGATAACAGACTTGTTGTAGGTAAGTAGTCGTATTCCTAAATTACTTCTTCAAATTAATACTATAAATTAATTATTATTATGCACATTTTTTTGTGCACTTTTAAGAAAATTTCTGATATGGTGTAAATCAGTACATATAATTTTGAACCACTCCATTGCTCTCTTTTTGTTGCAATGCTAAACAGGGAGCTAAAGCTGAAAAAAAAAATAATTAAAAGGCACTGAGATATGAAAAGACCTGGATATTGAAATAGAGAAACTAAAAAGCTCATTCCTTAGTCTTGAAGAAACAGCATCAAATTAGTTCTTGTATCATCTCAGAACCCCTTACATGTTCTTCAATGTAAGAAAATAAGTCTTTGAAGTACATGTACAACATAACCCCTGAAATAAGATTTAAAATCTTGTTAATTTTTCTAAGCCTGTGATGATGCTAAGATCTGGGTGTGGGAGATTCCTAAGAATGGATTGACGGAGACCCTGACGACCCCCAAAGGAACCCTGCTGGGACACATGGAGAAGATTTATTTCGTGGTCTTCCACCCCCTGGCCCGGGACATCATTGTGACGTCAGCGTATGATATGACAGTGAGGATCTGGGACCTGGCCGAGATGAAGGAAGTCATTCAACTGATGGAGCATCAAGATCAGGTCAGACATTTCTTATTGAATACTGTAAACCAACTTTTATTCGTGACCACTTTATTTTGCGATTTACCAGGCGAAAACTAGTTTGCACAATTAGTTTTTGCGATCAAGCCTAGTGTGGAGCAGTTGTTAATTGACACAGAGGCCTTAGGGACCGGTTCGTGTTGAGAAATATTCACGATGATGAGGCTCTCGCGCACCTCGCAAAAATTTCGCACATGCGAATAAAAGTTGGTTTCTGATAATAGCAAATAGAAATGGGATCTTAATGGGAGCGAAAAATATATGAAATTAATGTTGCCTTAAAAGAATCATTGTTAATGCTAATCTTAAGAATACGAAAACTTATAGTGTGCGTCTGTTTTCTTTGATATAATTTGCATTTCAATATCTCTACAATACATGTACCTTCATCGTACTTTTGAATGAATGGAAATATAAATGTATCTTACAAAAAAGATCAAGAATTTACACCACCCAACTTTATATTGTGGTTAAATGAGGTTTAAAGGATTAATTCATTGATTAAATTGAACCACCCAATGTTAAATGAGATCCAAGGGATATAACTCATGGATTCTATCTTCATGTTTTAAGGTATTCTGTGCAGCTTGGAGCCCTGATGGGAAATATTTGTGTACAGTTTGTAAAGATGGAAAGATTAGAATATTTAATCCAAGGAAATCCCCAAATCCAATCATGGTAAAAAATGAGTCAATGAATAATACTAAAATCTTCTTTATTTTAATCTTTGCTGAAGTTGGCAAAAGTGAAAGACTTTTTAGGGGATTTAAACAATTACGAGTCAATGAGTTATTTTTGTGTATTTCAGGAGGGACCAGGACCAGATGGGCCGCGGGGGGCCAGGGCAGTATTTGTACTAGAGGGCAACTATTTGTTTGTCAGTGGATTTGATAAGTAAGTGTACAAGTACCACACTAAATTTTTCTAATTCAACTTCATCTTCTCTCTCTCTCTGTTTCTCTCACTTTCTCTCTCTCATCCCCCCAAATAAATAACAACCATTTTGAATAAGATGTAAAGAAAGAATACAAATAAATATTCAAGTTCAAATCAGCATATTTCTTACATTCCAAATTACAATGTTGATACAATCACAAAGTTTAAACAAGAGGCCCACGGGCCTTATAGGTCACCTGAGTATCATGTAACAACTTTCCAGCGATTGTATTTGGTTCGTGTTTTAAGCCAAAAGCCATGAAATTCACAAATTTTGAAAGAGGCGCCATTGCTTATCAAAGGGCAGATTTCAAAGCATTAATTTATTTTTAGTCAAAGTACCCCCTTGGTACCCCTGACCCAGCAGCCCTGAAATTATCTATTTTGAAAGAGGCCCCTTTCTTCATTATAAGGCCAGCATTTTTTTTATGTTTAGGTTTAGTTATGAACATGAGAATAAAAAAGTCCCGAAGGAAAAGGAAATAAATTTTTTTGATAAATCAATTATTAACATTTGTACATTCTTTTTTTATGCTATCCTAATAGGCTCCTTACCACTGGACACATAATGCTTACAAATAGGAAAGTAGAACATTTCATTGCTTATTTCATCATCTGCCACTTTGGGCCAGTTATATAAATTTTGTAATGTTGATCAAAATATATTTTAAAAAATCAATTCTTTAAAAGTCTTTCAATATATCTTCATTTTTTTAATATGTGTTAGGTGAATGTGTAGACATTGTTCTAAAATTTACTTGATGCCTAAAATTATAATCCCTATCATAAAACAGACAGGAAGTATTGGGGAGTAGGGTCAACATTTTTTCAATTAAGTGTAAAATAATTTTTCTGGCTGATACAAATGATACTACATGCCTGTATATATTTGTATATTCTTGCCTTTTAATAGTTGAATTTTTTTTTATTTCTTCACTTCAGGTTATTGTTTATTTCTTCCTCAAATGGACTTCACTTCTCCCATAGTTTTATTCATTACATCTGATGCATAAGCAACCCTTTTCTGAAGAATGATGCTTAGACTGTAAGCTATAACAGAGACCTAAACAATGTCCCTGGCAATATGCAATAGCTACCACGGGCAGTTTAAAACCTGGGGGAGGAAAATAATTTACAGTTACTTTTGAAACGAATACATAATTATCTCACCAGCATGTCATTGTGCAACAAAGTCGTCAGCATTTTATTTGTCCTTTGAACGGGTGAAACGTTTTGAATGGCACTCTTATCGATGAATTTTACACTAAACCAAGCTATCTTCTCAGATCTAGCTTTATTTACCCGCCGTTTCATCGTAAAACCGGAAGTGCGAGTTCGTAAATTTGAAATCTCGATCCCGACTCAAATTTGACATCGGAAAGAAAAAAAATTGTTTTATTTTTTTCTAAAAATTCAAAACCTTGAGCGGAGTGTTTGTAAAACTGAAAATAAAATAAATCCTGGCCTTAAATATGTAATTAGATCATTAACATATTAACCAGGAGCAAAGGATAAGATGTTCAAAGAATTCATGCATTTCACTATATAATCATTAGAGCCCCACCCTAAAACAAGAACCCCTGACCCTGGTGCCATAAAATTCACAATTTTGGTAGAGGCACTCTTGCTTATCATAACTATGTACTTAGTTAGTTTATTTAATACCCAGGAGCAGAGAAGAAGATTTTCAAAGAATTCATGTATTTTCACTATATAATCAATAGAGCCCCGCCCTAACACCAGAACCCCTGACCCTGGGGCCATAAAATTCACAATTTTGGTAGAGGCACTCTTGCTCATCATAACTATGTACTTAGTTGGTTTATTTAATACCCAGGAGCAGAAAAGAAGATTTTCAAAGAAATAATGCATTTTCACTACCAACTTATTTAGCCCCGCCCTAGCACTAGAACCCCTGACCCTGGGGTCATGAATTTCACAATTTTGGTAGAGGACTCATTGCTGATTACAATCATGCAAAAAGTTTGACTGCTTGATGTCCAGGAGTAAAGAAGATTTTTAAAGATTGCATTAATTTTAGTGGTTTTGGCCCCACCCCTCAGGCCCCAGGGGGGCAGGGATCATGAAATTCAAAATTTTTGTTCCCCTTCACCCATAGATGCTTTGTGCCAAATTTGGTTGAAATTGGTTCAGTGGTTGCAGAGAAGAAGCTGAAAATGTTCAAATGTTAACGCACGACAAACGACGAACGACGACGGACGAAAACAGATAGCAATAGGTCACCTGAGTTTACTCAGGTGACCTAAAAACAGCAAAGAAATTCTTTTTACACATGAGCAGTAACTTCAGTTACTGAAAAGTCATCAATCCAAATCCACATGATATGAAGAAATTGTGTGTAATGCACACATTTGTTTTACTCAGACAAAGTAGACGGATGATTTTCCTGTATGACACTGGTGACCTGAGCCAGCCTCTTTATGAGGACTCAATAGACGAGTCCCCTGCCATTCTCATACCCTACTACGATGAAGACAGCAATACTGTGTTTCTGTCTGGAAGAGTAAGTCACAAGATTTAGCAGGAGATTAAGTAATAGAAATTAGCAAGCCATGAAGTGACAAAAATTAACAGGAGAATAATTCACAGAAATTAGCAGGAGATTAAGTCATATTTAGTGGATGTTCCAGGCAACATCCATGAAATCAATATACATGTACCTGCTGCCTAAGTATGTCCTATATATATTTTATTAACTTTTCAAAAAGATTTTTAACTATGTTTTTATTCTGGATTTTTCAGGGGAATGGACAGTTATATGCCTATGAAGTTGCAACAGAGGAACCATATTTATTTCCCTTAGCAACAACTAAGTTTACAACTCCAAGCCAAGCATTCGCCTTCCTTCCAAAATACCTGTGTGACGTAAAAAATGTAGAATTTGCCAAAGCTTACAGATTAACCCAGACTACAGTAGAGCCCGTGTCTTTCACTGTTCCCAGAGTGAGGGTGGGTATATTTACTTCAAACAGTAAAAATATATGAGCACCCTAATTTCAAAGACTGGATTTTAGGACTGATTTTGGTACAAAACTGGGTACAATGCCGGAGATTAACTCATACCGTTTTATGGTTGAGTTCGACATTTCCACTCGGTGAGGCAGAATTTCGACGCTGTTTACGGAGATAAATGAAAATAAAGACAAGCAAGCCACATATGGTTGTGTAGATAAATTGTCGTAGATGACATAGGTATAAACAGTTTTACACTGCCTTTCCTCTGAAAATGTGAATGAGCGCAAATTTAAGGGAGGGGGTACTCCGTGTAATTTGGAGTTAGATACCTTTCGTTATTTTTAGTACTATGGGTTAAATTCATTTCCAAAACAAGTGCCTGTGATATGTTGACTTACATCAATAAACATTCAAAGTTTAATAAAATAAAATTTCAGGATTTGTCATACAGCCTTAATCCTTCAAGTAATGTGAGAGATAAACGGCAAAGATTGTGTCTACATAATTGATGTTGATTAGGTTATCAAGGTGTTAAAAATTGATGTATTCCATACAAAAAATGAGTGAAACACTGAAAACAGATCAAAACGGGTGCAAAGATGGCTATTTAGCATTTGATTGGCATATACTTTTGCAAAAATCCCTTTTAGAAATGGATTTTTATCACAATTTCATATTTTTGTGGCACACCTTTTGATCATTACAATTTTTTTCAGTTGGAGTTTTTCCAAGATGACCTTTTCCCAGATACTCGAGTGACCTGGGAACCAACAATGACCAGTAAGGAATGGTTGGCAGGGAGCAATCAACAACCCAGATCTATAAGTCTGAAGCCCAAAGACATGACACCATGTAAGCAGGAACTATTGTATAAGTGGAAATTTTAGCGAGACGCAAATTTAGCGATTTGTCCTTAAAAACTTGTATTTTATTTAAGGAATGAATTTAATAGCTACCCATTTTATACGGTATAAACTGGGTTGGGGCAGTTTACGCTTTATAAACCGCGAAGCGTTTTATAAGAAAGCATAAACTGTTCCAACCCAGTTTATACCATATAAAATGGGTAGCTATTAAATTCACTGCTTATAATTTAATTTTCATTCAATGTAAGAAATAAAGATGACTGTTCTAACAAATTGACTTCAATTTGTACAAAATTTAAATGTAACGTCAGGCAGATTGATACGTTTTTGACGCAAGTCATTGTGACGTAGGCAACCCATTTTAAGCCCAAAAAAATTAATCAATAGTTTCTCAGGCACCGCCGCATCTGTTCAAAAACGGCCGCATTGATCATTTTTATTGACATGTTGAAAAGGGAAATAACTCAATTTTTTTATTTTTCCAGGTTGAAAAAGAAAATCAAGTTATTCCCCTTTTCATAAATGCTCAGATAGACGTTTTTATTAGAAAAACAATACATTTCTTCCAAATTTTCAGTATTTTATTAATTGACTTATAAATGAATGTTTGGAGTAACATTATTTAAAGTTGAATACATATTACAACCAATTTCAGAGAACAAAAATCAAGAATTGGTAGATATTATGATTTTATTGAACAAATGGCTTAAAAAAGGTGTTAAACCTACTTCAAAAAAAAAAAAAAAAAAAGCCTGCCTGCCGCATTGAATTCTGATTTTTTTGGCCTGAGAAACTATTGATTAATTTTTTTTGGCCTTATACGATATAAAATAATTATTTATTTAATCAAATACATCGTTACAACCAGAATTAAATTATTTTTAGCGAGAAGTAATTTTTGTGATTTTTAAGTGCTCACTAAAGAAGCTAGTACAAATAACACGCAATATATTTTTAGCGATATTCAATTTTAGCGATCTCAACAGCCTCGCTAATAATGACAAAATTAGATCCTCGCTAAAATTTCATCTTATACGATATTTACTTAAAAAAGAACCATTAATCCCAGCTTCTTTCGTTACCAGTGGTAAAATTGTCTGTGTGTGTGTGTGTGTTTTTTTTTTGGCAAATTGAATACAAATGTATTAATTGATTTGCAATGATAAATATTTGTGAACCCAATTAACTCAGAATTTTCTTGATTTATTTTTTTTAAATGAATATTAATTTACAGTACATGTATTATAATAAGAGTGGAGGATTCTATTCAAACATACTGTAGAAGTACTTTTTTCCGCGTGGTATTAATTTATGCTATGTACGCAGTCACAAATTTTCCGCGGAAATTTGTCCCAGCGTATTTAAGGTAAATGTAACGCACAGTGACAATCTTGAAAATTCGCGTCAATTTCTACCCGCGGATTAAACAGAAATTGAGATTCCGCGTAATTATGACCCCGTGGAAAAAAGTACGTCTACAGTAATCAGAAATTTCTGGCAAATTTTGGAAAAGTTGTCAACACAATTATCGTAAAAAATAACAAAGACACCACAAAGTGGAACACCCCCTTCCAAAATGATTCCAATATAAATTAATATTACTTGTGTTACTTCCATTTAATATGCATGCACTCATTCACCCACCCACCCACAAGTGTTTCACTATATCTACATCTTCTTTGTGAAGAGATAAAATAGGCGACATTCCTTATGGTATTGCACTGTTCATTGTTTACATGTAACTACAGTTGAACTTCATTGTCTTGAACACAGATATCTCGAATACCATGGATATTTTTGATAATTTGAAGTCCCAAGTACTTATTTTTTAAGTACTTTTCCCTGGATATCTTGAATTCTTGAATATCTCGAAGTTTTTCCTTGGTCCATTCAAGTTTGAGATAATTAAGTTTGACTGTAAATATATTTAGTCTTTTGTGTCTTTCAGTAGTATTTATTTATTGTATAATTAAATCATTGTTTCAAGTAACCAACCAACAATAAAATTACATGTGCATCCTGTTTCAGTGAGCTTGGCACCAAAAGAAACACACAAAGTGAAGAAGTTTGACAGCTATAATCCAGAGACCTATAAAACAGATGAACAAAAGAAGGAAGAGGTATGTCACAGTCATTTGGGAATAATTTGGAATGAAATGAAAATATTTTATAATTTTACAGAATTTATGTTGGTTGATACTAGCTGTAGAACTGTAGCCATCTGCTTGAGAAAATTCGGACAGATAAAGCAGAGAGCTACAGATCCAAGCATTGTAAAAACCTTCGATTTACGCCGACGATTTGTTGTCGCTCACTCGGGTATTTTTCTTGTATTTTATACTTTCCCTAGCTTTAAAATGGTATTTTATAATTAATCATACATTTAAGCTTCAATTCCTAATAATTTACATACCTGTCAACGCTAAAAAATGGCTGTTTGTGATTATGGACGTCGAAATGGAACTCTTGTAAATCGATATTACAAAACTATATACAGGACTGTTTCCAACCATTTAAAGGTAAATAAAGTATCAAAATAAGAGTTAAATATGTGATTAATTAAAGGATAACATTCTTAAAGCCAGAAAGCTTTAACTACATGAAATAAATATCTTAAGTAGCGACAAAAAATCGTCGATGTAAATCGAAGGTTTTTACAATGCTAGGATCTGTAACTCTCTGCTTTACCTGTCCAAATTTTCTCAAGCAAAGAGCTACAGTTCTGCAGTTAGGTTGATACATACACCGTATGTAAATTGCAATATGTGTCTATGATATAAAATGAAAAATATGTGAAACAAATTTTATGAAAAACTTACGTTTTAGATATGTTGAATGTACATGTATGATACGTACAAGTTGCGTATGGTTAGCTTTGAATCATATCATGAACATTCTGTAGACGTACTTTTTTCCATGTGGGATTAATTTCCGCTATGTACTCAGACATATTTTTTTCGTGGAAATTTGTCACAGTGTACTTAAGATTCCTTAAGGACATAATAATGACAATCCAAGATGTCTGCGTAATTTCATACTCGCGGATTGAGTAGAAATTTTGTTTCCGCTGAATTATGACCCCTATTTCATAACAGCATAATTGCTTCAATAAAATATTTTTTGCCCCCTCACCCTCCCTTCTACACCAGATTGTAGTACAGCTAAATTGTTTTTGTTACTCCTGTAGTTAAGATGTACTTTACAATGAAAACTTTACAGTTACCATGGTTATTTTATATTCAGTTGCTGAGTGCTATGACTAACAAGCTGAGTAAACAAGAGGACCCTCTCCCCCAGGATCTGGCTGAGGGGGTGGATGAAGATGAATGGGTAAGTCACTCATGTTCCCCCTCATCCCTTCAAATATATTGATAAGATTGATAAGATATGCAAATTCAATTCTATACATTGCAATAAATTGGCATTTGCAGAGAAACCACATAATTGCTTCCAATGCACTTCCAAAGCAGCAATTTATAATTTAATGAAAATTCTATGATTTTGCTCATGATTATTTTAAAAACAGATCAAATTTTATGGAATCTGGGGAGTGGGGAGCAATGTTTGTTGACAATGAAAATTTTACTTTGGGGACATAATTTTGTTGGTAACATGTAGATGAACAAGATTCAACGAACTGATACTTGGTAAGGATAACATTCAAAGTCCAAACTTTCATACCCCCCAAGTACAATGATGAGTCCATAGTACATGTATGATGTGAATTGTCATACTGGAAATTGTTTGACAACCAGGTGTGATTCTACAAGTAACAAATTATTCAGCATTGCGTTTTAAATGTGTTAAATGCAGTCAGAAATTTCTACACATATCAGACCCAGAATTTTGGGACAAACTATATGAAATGATGACACAGTTAACATCGAACTTAATTTCTATATTATTTTTTCAGGATGATTGATGACTTAAGTGCCATGAAGATATAATGGTGATTAGACTGTGCAATTTTAAAAGAGATTTCTTATAACATGTATTAATCATACATAGTATTCCCACTAATATTTACATTCCATAGAAATCGTTCTACAGTACATTCAAATATTTGTAAAGACCTTCTGGAACGTTTCTTTGTGCCAAAGCATGTCTGTATTAAACTTGTATGGTAATTCAATATCTGTAGAAATAAAAATAATACTATTAGATAGTAACACATTGCTAATGCTTTTAATTTATTAAATGATACCAAAGTGAACTTGACTTTTTTTGAATTCCCAATTTTATCATATTTATTAGGGCAGTCAAGTTTTGTATGCTTATTTTATTTTATTTTTTATTAATTTTTTTTTTTTTTGGGGGGGGGGGGGGTGTCTCAAGGAGGCATGGTAGTCCTGATGGTTTGTTGTGCTACATACAAATCAAAGGTTGTGGAGAAATCTTGGAGGGAGGGGATGAGGGGGAGGGAGCTACTAAAGGGGGAGTTTCGTTAAGGCCGTTTTGCGGCCCCTCGAGAAATGTTATGAAATTGTGATATGTTGTAGATAAATGTCTTATCTTCCTAAAAATATGAAAATAATTTATACTGCACATTTTCTGGTCACGTGATAAATTAAAGTTTAAGTACACCCCCTTCCCTTCATTTTAGGAGTAGGCATATTTAAAACGGGATACTGAAGTTTTTTCAACGTCAAATCATAAATGAAATGTGATAAATGTGAATAAAGACATCAAATAACCAATTTCTATATTAATTTTACAGAAAATTAATAAAATTTATTTTATGTGAATGTTTTTTAAATTGCAAGATTTTTCTCGACTTTTAATTGTAACTTTTCTTTAAAAGAGGGAGAATTTAACTTATAAAACATATATATACAGTATAGACAGAAACATTTACAAGAGGAATTTACTGACAGTTTATATTTGAATATAATAATCAATTTATAACAGTTTTCCCGTACGTGGGAAGCAAATGTAAAAAAAAAAAAAAAATAGACATGAGATAGATCAACTTTGAGTGTAATTTACAGTTGTTTAGAACTGTTTGCAATAAATTTTCGTCAACTAAAGTTATAGCGCAAATTTTATTGTGAAATTATACAGTAATATTATTGAATTTAATTTTTAATCATGCTTTGAAAAACAAATGGATTTCCGTACGATTAAAGAAATGCAAGTACACATTTATATTATTTCAAAAGTATATTCAAAAGAATCGCAATTGCAATGCTCATTGTATTTTAATGTATAAATAATATTCAACACAGTCAATATATTTTATCAAGATAGCAATTATTAGTCCCCTACCGGTAAAACCAGAGGGACTACAGGTATAGTTTCCGTATCGTCTGTTTAGCTGTCCGTCCCTCTGTCTGTCAGTCTGTCCCATTTGGTTTTCCGCACTTTTCTCTATAATCGCTTGCTTGCAAACTTTGATAAACTTGTTTTTAGTATTAATATGATTTTTTTTTTACCTTTGGGGGGGGGGGGGGGTTGTCAATTTTTTTCCCAAAATGCTTGTAAATATTGTGCTAAGTTAATGAGTTAATGAGTTAACCTCGATCAGTAATAGATCATATTTGTATTTTGTTTCGCTTCAATGATTTTTTTTTTGCGGAATTATTAAATTGGAATTTACATGTTTTTTTATTACAAAAACCAGGTTATACTTGCAGGTAGAAAACTATAATTGGTAATGCAATACTAACTCGAATAAATAGCCAGATGATAAAAAAAACTTAAATAGATTGAGTGTCTCCATTTATTCAGAAAGTTAGAAGTATTTTTAAAAACAACTTAAAGATGCACATTATGTTCTCAGCAACTGAAACTAGGTTCTTGCTTCACCAATTTTAGTTACATTTAGTAAGTGCTTGTCCAGATCGCAGTTCAAAATACATTTATAAATGCCAAAGATGTGTTAAATCCCAAATTCTGCAGAAACATACAAATCAATATTTAGTCTTTAAAAAAATTACGTTCCCTACTTAAATATAAACCACACGTAAAAACATAACGAACCTTCTCTAGCAGATTGGAGCAAGGGTTTCTATTCGAAAAAAAGGCTAATATGATATTTTTTCCGATATATGTTTGATTCAGAACGTTAAGGAATGGACTCGTTTTCACTTCTTTCGTTAAATCAGTCAGAAAATAGAAGTAAGATCTGGCATCTGGACCATTTCTGGTAATGTGCAACCCTAAATGTATCATCGGTGCATGTTAAGTCAACTTTAACTCTGAGCATTCATCAATGAAATGTAAGTCAGACCCAGCATCCGAACCAAGTCTAGTACTGTACATCCGAAGATGCATCATGAAGCATGTCTGGTCATCAAGTACTTATAGTGGCATTGCTAAAAAAACTTTAACTTACTTTAAAAAGATTGACCTCGACACATATTAGCTTAAAACCCAGCATCTGAAACCCGACAGATGACTACGAATTACTGTTCAAGGGACTAGATGATATAAAAAAAATATCTGCTTGAAAAATTTTTAACTGGGAACGCCAATGCCGACGGTATTAAGAAAACTTCCCCTGTTCCGTGTAGTTGAACTAAAAATATGACGTTAACGTTATATGCTGACGAAATAAGTATGGAAATAAAGAAAGTATCCGAAAATGTATTCTATTGTTAATATTTTCAAGAATTAACTTTGCTTTTAAAAATGTGCCACTTTTGGCTAAGTATTTTAACCTGGTGTATGATCAAGTAACCAGAAGGTTCTAATTTTAGGTATGCAAATTTTAAACGATTTTTAATTTTTGGATATGAAGTGCACACGCGACACTCATCATATTGTAAACTATTAGTGTGCAGGGTATATCTAATAACTGGGCAAAACTAGGTTAGTGTCCCTCATGCACTTCATATTCTAAAAATCGATTTATAAATGCCACCCTCTTATATTTTCCAATAGGCCTAATGTTAACGCATTTGCGGGTACATCTAAGTTTGTGTCGGCTACGGTGTGAATTTATCTCATATTAACTTTTGAAATATTAATAACAAAAATTAAGATACTCATCTTAAATTCTAAACAAATTTTGAAAAAATAAATTGAAATTTATTTTTATGAAAATAAGTGGGCCGAGAAACGGCCTTATCGAAAATCCCCCTTTAAGTACAAATATTAAATTGTTTTGTTTTATTTGTTTCTTTAATATGGTTGTGTATTTCAAACTGTTTGTGACAATTCTCAAGTCAATAGTCCTGTAACCATGATGCATTTCAATGTCCCAGCAAATTGTCATACACAAGTTTATACGTTTAATAATTATTAAGATCTAACTTTGGAAAAAATTGCAAACAATTATCATAATTATCGAGTACATCACTGAAAAGTAATTTAAACCCAAGCTGATCATTATAACTGTATCAAAACATATCAATCTAGTGTGCCAATTATTAACACAGGTAAGGTGACTGCGTGCGTTCAGCCGTAACTAATCCCCTCATTATCGTACTCAAGGTGTCAGACAGTGTAAACAAAGGCTTCACTAGGGAAGTTAGAGGTGTGAACAATCTCATAATTATCCAAAAATTCTACGATGGGGCAAATGTTGTATCAGATAAAACGAAATTCTAATATTTTCTTATCAGAATATCAGGTGAAATTATTAATAAATATATAAGAAATGGTTTTGTGCTCTGATATTATATTGGAATAGCCGAAATATTCGTTTAACCGCTATCCGATTAAGTGGAAGCCACTGTATCGAAATGATGCTGACTAGTGAAAGTGTTAATAATAAATGTAAAATGTACAATGTACATGTAAGACTATAGGAGTTGTGGATTAATTAGCAATGGGCACATTTACCTCAATAACTCCATATTATTTAAAGTCCCATACCCCCCCCCCCCCTTCAAAAAAGGAAGGATATTGGTGATTATTGAGGAGACACATTTATAAAGTAGCTTTGTTTGTTTTATGTTCGGTGGGGCTATGTTCCTCATGCCCCTCGTCATTCCCTAGGACCATGCTTAATCTTTAAATGGCCATGCTGAATCTTTGAACACAGCACTGCTGATAGAAGCAGCTAACGATATTTTTCAAATTGTTCAATCATGATTAGATTAAAAACGGAAATAGTGAATTTAGTGAACATTAAACACATAAAACACATGAAATTTTAAATTCTTTTATTCTTCCCCATTTCACAGCTCCAAGGTCGTTAAATACAATTAATGTCAATAATTAAAACCAGAAGTCTCTGTCGAGACTGAAGCTCTACTGGTTTGAACTTATAGCAAAGGAAGAGAAAAGTACTTAAGCAGCTGGGATTTGAAACTAAATAGAATAATGATCGTTGATAAAGTCTCTTTATGTTCTTAGTGTAGTCTACTTGTGTGCCAAGTTATATTGAAATCAGACCAAAACTGTAGGAGGAGTAGCATTTTGAAACAATTTTACAGACATTTCTATTTTTAGTAACCACGGCAACACCGTTCATCGAAATCAAAAACCGATAAACAGAATTATGTATCTTAGTGTAGTCTTCTTGTGTGCCAAGTTATAATGAAATCAAACCAAAACTGTAGGAGGAGTAGCATTTCGAAAGAATTTCACAGAAATTTCTATTTTTAGTAACCACGGCAACACCATTCATCAAAATCAAAAACCGATACACAGAATTATGTATCTTAGTGTATTCTACTTGTTTGCCAAGTAATACTGAAATCAGACCAAAACTGTAGGAGGAGTAGCATTTTGAAAGAATTTCACAGTAATTTCTATTTTTAGTAACCACGACAACACCGTTCATAGAAATCAAAAACCGATACACAGAATTATGTATCTTAGTGTAGTCTACTTGTGTGCCATGTTTTTACTGAAATCAAACCAAAACTGTAGGAGGAGTAGCATTTTGAAAGAATTTCACAGAGATTTCTATTTTTAGTAACCACGGCAACACCGTTCATCGAAATCGAAAACCGATACACAGAATTACGTATCTTAGTGTAGTCTACTTGTGTGACAAGTTATATTGAAATCAGACCAAAACTGAAGGAGGAGTAGCATTTGGAAAAATTGTTTACAGACAGACGGACAGACGGACAGACAGACAGACGGACGGACGACGGACGCATTACTATCGCATAAGCTCTTCTGGTCTCTGACCAGTAGAGCTAAAAAATGAAATGAGAATACATAATCCTTAATCAAAAAAATGCGAATTACAATACATGTACTAGCACATATCACAAACGGAATGGAAAACACACACAACAAAAATGTTTTAATTAATGAGCAATACAGTATATATATATATATATATATATATATATATATATATATATATATATATATATATATATATATATATATATATATATATATATATATACATACTAAATAAAATACTATAGGATCAATTTTCCCCATGAAAATACTCTGAAGAGTTAATTACTATAGTATCTCTCCACGGTAGAGAAAAACTCTTATTCCCTATCCTGTTCAATGTTCTGAGTTAAAGAATATCAATATATTACAATAAACAATATACATTAATTTTTCTTTTAATAAACGCAATTTGTATACAGAATAACTTAATAAAGTAACCTTTAAAAATAACTCCACAAAAAATGAAACAAAATCACAAACAAAAGAACAGAGATAGAGGGAGAGAGAGAGAGAGAGAGAGAGAGAGAGAGAGAGAGAGAGAGAGAGAGAGAGACATAATTTAATATAGCACATTTGCTGTTGAAAGATGGACAACCAAAAATGAACATCGAGTATTTTTTTTTTAGCTATTTCCAGCACAAGGCTGACAACAGTTCCTGACCCCATTCAATGAGTACATGTTTAGTCAACAACATTAACGACTAGTCTAGTTATACTTATATGTAATTTATACAGTAAAACCTCAGTAATCCGGAATCCAACAATCCGGACGTCGTGGGAAACAAAATTACGAACTAGATATCCAATCGGCAATCCTCGTCTGACTCCGCTACGCTCATTTCCGTGTGCGAGGTACGAGCCACCCGAGGAGTCCGGAGTGCTTGATATCCGAAGGGTTTATTAATCCGAATGATTTGCTGAGGAACGCAGCATCATTCGGCTTCATTGCGTGTACAAGTCCTTTTAGAATATCTCAAGTCTTTAAATCAAAAGTTCAAAATCTATTTTTGTAAGAGAATAAAAACAACCGGAAAACGAAATAACACGGGCTCTGCAAATAAAATTTTAATATTAAACATGTTTATTTAACTGGCTTTGGAATATGTAGATGTGACGGAAATTACACATCCTCCATGAGGTTTATCACAGTTCCAGCAGGCGATCAGATTAATGTTACAACAGCATTTTTTCTCTGAAGGCTGAAAATACAAGATGTTAATTTATGATTTGCTATCGGTTTCATTTAAGGAATCACTGTCTAATTTGGAGAGTATGCCAGGGCATCAACAATAGTGGGAAACATGGGATAATTTGCATAACGGGCAAAGCCCGTTATGGTAAAATTATCCCATGTTTCCCACTATTGTTGATGTCCCTGGCATACTCTCCAAACTAGACAGTGATTCCTTATATTTCCATTTCATTGTGAAATAAAATTGTAGACTTAGACATTTAAAATGTAGACTAATAGATTTAAATTACACGAGGACTTCCATGCCAAAGGTATTTACATGCATACTTAGTATTTGGCCTCCTTAGCGTCAGACACAGAGACAGATGCGCACGAGATTTGCATGCGTATTAGGCCTCCGTAGCTGTTGACCTATCGACCTACCTAATTTACATTCCGGCAGAATTATCAAGAAATAATCTCCCCCAACTTTCAAACAGTTATCACAGAGAAAAAAAATCAGAAATGGAAATATTTTATTTGCTCTCTCTCTCTCTCTCTCTCTGAAAATGAAATTATTGTGGTTTGCTTAAATTGTGAACTTGGAGAAGTTGCTTGTGTGAAGGTGTTACATTAAAACTTTTAAAATTTAAGCAACAGGGAAAGCGTAAATAAAATGGACCTTTTTATTGCTAAAATACTTGACAAAAAGGTCTCTAAGTTTAATTTTCGATGTGCATATATAAGTGTTTAACTTTTTTTTACCATCGTACAATGAATTATCAAGTTATATCCCAAACGTTGCGTTATCACTTAAAATTACATAATTGTGTGAAACTATGTACAGCCTTGCTCTCATCAAGGCAATTTTGTACAATTCGTCCTCGTTCGATATAAATTAAGTACACGCGAATGTCACCTTTCAGGGTCACATTCATATAGCACATGAAAATCATTTACACTACTGTCTGATAAAGTTTGAATTTTATACAGAATAGAATATCAGAATCATAGGCCTTTAGATCGCTTAGAAATTTTTTTTTCTTTACACACACAATTTTTTTTAAGCGATCCAAAGGCCTGTGATCAGAATACATAAACCTTTCATTCTTTGCCATGAAATAAAATTTTAAAATTCCTCGTCATTATTACAAGATTTTTTTAAAATAAAAAATTATAGTTAGCCCCATTCCTTATTATCTTTTTAAAGACATAGAATCTATGCCAGAATTCTTTTTTGAAATTACTCGATTGTGATGAATATAGTTTTTTTTAAATCAAAATTTATATTTAGTCCCCAACCACATTACATGTATCTTTTTACAAATATGAAAATATCCTACCCCCGCCCCCTACAAAGGTGCCCGCAAGGTGTTTCAGGAAAATAACTATTATTATAGCAGGACTTTCAGCATCTTGTGCTAGATTTACCGCCTACTAATCGTTACTATATTTGATCATTTCAAAAATGACAGATGTCAGATGTCATTTTTGTACAACGATTCGACGATGTATATAGAATACGGTCATCACAAATACGCGTACGAACTGATACATTTTGGACTTTTCGTAATAACTTACACGAAGCATAAATAATTACAAGGTACAATACGTTTGAGACACAAAGACTTAAGACAATCATAGCAAAAAAAATCGGGTATATAGTATATATAATAGGGGAATACTATATACCTATAGAATCCGGATAGGGCCACGCAGTTCACTATCGCATCATCGTACCATCGAGATTTGAGTCGATGGTGCGATGACGCGATAATGCAATGACAATGAAGCGATGGTGCGATAACGATGGCGCGATGACGATGATGCGATAGTGCGACGACGATGGTGCGATGGTACGATGTAGCGATAATGCGATGACGCGATGGCACGATAGCGATGATGCGTTGGTGCGATGGCGCGACAGTGATGATGCGATGCTATATCGTGCCATCGTTATTGCTTTATCGCGCTATCGACATCGTGTCATCGCTCTATCGACTACATAGATAGGATGGCATTCTCAGCAGGTAGTTAAATCGAGCAAAGATTTGATTGCTCAGTGATAATTTACTGACTTTAATTTTGTATTTGATAATCATATTTTAAATAACAAACACGAAGTACCAAGAGGAGAGAGGGAGGAAGACTTTTGTTTTGTATTTGCTTTAAATTTTCTTGATTGTGAATACTGTATTCAACGGTGCTAAAATTTCACAATTTCTCAGAAAGTACAATAGCGATGGGTTTAATTTCACCAGGGACCTATATACTAGTATATATAGGTCCCTGATTTCACGATGCAAGAAATTAATTTAAATTTCGTATAAGCATTTACTTGTTTTAATAGTTAATGATAGCATTCATGATGGGTTTAATTTTGCGGAAAAAAAATGAATCGCGAACATAGTGAAAGTAAAACCATCGTAATTTTTTCCCAATCTACAGTATTAATCCCCCCCCCCCCCCTGTTTAGAAACCAAAATCTAGATCACGCTAGATTAACTTTATCTTGATTATCAAACTATATTTTAACATCTTCTAACTTGTTATATGTCTGGCAATAAAGACATGGTTAATTTTTATGCCAAGTGAAGTTAATTCACCCAGTAAGATCTATTTCTGATATGTATTTTGTTCATACTTTCACAACCTGACACCATTTCTCTTCTCAATAGCGCATGCGCAAAAGAGTCGATAGTGCGACAATGCGATGACGATAGTGCGATAGAGCACTAATGATGACACGATAGAGCATCGCTTCATCGTTATCGCGTTATCGTATCATCGCTATCGCAGCATCGCTACCATCGCGTCATCGCTCCATCGCTTCATCGTCATCGCAGTATCGCGCCATCGCGTCATCGTCATCGCGCTATCGCACCATCTCTTCATCGTTATCGCTTCATCGCTCCATCGTCATCGCATTATCGCGTCATCGCACCATCGACTCAAACCTCGATGGTGCAATGATGCGATAGTGAACTGCGTGGCCCTATCCGGATTCCATATGTACCCGATTTTTCTAAGATTGTCTCAAGTCCCCGTGGTTTGAGATGGACAAATTACAACTGTAGGGATTTTTAGATGTCAGGATTTTCTCTGACACAATTACCCACCATAGAAATTTATTCATATTATATGAATTATCTTTTTTAAGTTAACATGATCAGCGAAAAATTTAGATTTAATACACATGGGCTCCCATGGCCTTCCCATACTGATTTGAACATGTATTATGTAGCAATCACATAAACGAATTGGGCAGCAGGCATAGCCTATATATAAGCCCTCTCCACATGTACAAGGTTAATTAATACACATATAGTAACAGGTTCAGGCCTAGAAAAAAATAGGTTTGTTTCCGCTTTCAGGCTGAAAAAAATATAGGGTAGGTAGGTAGGCAATTTTTTTTGAATTTTTTTTTTGCTTCTTTAATCAAAATGTATATAGAAGTAACATTAATGACAAAGGAAATGGTGTTTTTAAGCATTTCTGTGACTTATACTTATAATAGAAAGGTGACCCAAACTTCTGTCTGTCTTGAAAAGCTTGCAAAGTTGGAGACTATAATTCCCTGAGTGAAATCTTGCACTTCATGGGACAAAAGCATTGAAAAAAATTTAGGGTCGGCACTATAAATTAGGGTCGGTCGGGAAAGCGGAAACAAACATATTTTTTTCTAGGCCTCATATATCACCAATAAGTTTTATATATAACTAACACAAAAATGAATAGAATTTAGAAGGAAGTACAAAAAGGGACATATTAAAGAGAAAAAGGAAAAAAAGGGGAAAATGAATACCGGTTTATGTGGAAATGAGAGGAAAAATCGAAAAATGAGAATTACAGCAATTTATATAAAATACAATGAATATGTATTTGATGTAGGCAAGAACTGGAGTAAATATTTCGATCATAGTTTCACCTCATTTATGAAACCTTTTGTGATATATATGTATGAACACAATCAAACAATTTCCCATACTGATGGTAATGCCATGACACAACCAAATCAATGAGAATAAATTGAGAAGAACCTTTGCTTGTGTTCTATTTACCGTAATACAACTACAGAAATTTTGAATGCAATTTTTTTTCTTACTATGTAAAATTTGTTCAGAAATAAAATATAAGCTCCATGAGTTGACAATACTCACTTTTTCTACGAATGGCGACAATTGCTATGACAACCGCCACTATGACAACCACGCCCACTACAGTAGGGACAATGATGAAAACGAGGTTCAATGATACTGTTTCTTTGTTGCCATGGATGCCAGAAACAGTTGCTGCCAATGAAAATGAAACATTTGCATGAAACACATGTATGTTTTACCTTTGAAAATTTGTTCCTATACAAATCTATACGAAAAAAAAGTCTAACATTTCGAACGTTTTGCTGAGCGTGCATAAATAAATCGATGTTTGACCGCTGAGTGAGATGTTGGACCGGTCGATGAGATGTTGGACCGCTTAGGTATAACAGAATGGGCGAAGCTCAATCTTATTTTCATTCGTTGGTGTTCAACATTGACGGATCTGAGGTTACATCACAGAAGACAGTACAAAATACATGAATGGCCAAAAAAATTAAAGGTATAACAAAACATTTACCATGGATTTAAGCACCATAACATAATTGCGAGAAATTTTTTCAGCGACTGATGTTGTTCGCTCAATTACGCGATAATAAATTCCTCGCGTTTAATTAGGAATTTACAGTATGACCACGTTCTCGGGCAACATGCGTTTTGTCGACCCTCGAACCAAACTGTCCAGCGGCCTCAGGCAGACATTTTGGTTCTTGGGTCCGACAAAACTCATGTTGCCCTCAAACTCAGTCAATAAATGTATAATATTATATTTCAATAACAAATAGATCGGCCAAATAACTGCTTAGAGGGTGGGATTCTATATATTGTAACGTTTTCGTTTTATGTGTGTATTCAATCAGTAGGTACCCTAGAGGCACGTTGCAATAATGGGTTCGAAGGTAGATTAGATAGAACAAGTGTGATCAGTTACAATCAATTTATTAAATTAATCAAACGAAAAGTACAATACACAATAATATTTTGATATAATGTCCCAATTCACAGTGTAATGTACATGTACAATAATAAAAATTATATTTAAATGGTCACATGCGCGTTAGACTCGGTGAAAGGTGCTAACGGCTTAAGGTGCTAGGTGCTTCCGATGATATTGGAGCAAACTGGTTCTAGGTGTCCGGTGCTCAGGTGCCAGGTGCTACTGATATAAGCTAATTGGGTCTAAGTTCCATCTTTGCTTGACTGGTGCTATATAACCTTACTCGGTTTTAGGTGCTAGGTTTCTCCTGAAATATACTGTCTAAACTCGGAACATAAATTCACAAAGTTACTCGGTGTAAGGTGCAAGCGCACCCGACTATCTCAATAATTCCGCACATGCTCAACTATAATCCCTGTTGAGATTCTGCTAGGCTAGATATTTGGACTGACGCCGTCGCAGAATCCCTGGACGACTACTTATAATTCACGTCTGGAAATTAAGTCCCAACTTCGGTTGACTATAGCAAGAATTATTCGCCTTGACCACACTGCCGTTCGCTTCAATTAAGTCATTTAGTTGTTTATTTGACTCTCTGTCACTAATATTTCTACATAACTTACCGTTTAGGCATGTAAATCCCAACATAAAAATATTCACTGAAATCTCAGTTCAAAATATGGCTCCCGTGACGAAATTGTTTACCTATAGTCTGTTTTTACCCTATGTTATGTTCAATAGTCACATTATACTTGGTTCAGAATCACATAGGGTAAAAACAGACTATAGGAACTCTTTTATTCGAGGAGGTAAACAATTTCGTCACTGCGAACGGCAGCGTGGTCAAGGCGAATAATTCTTGCTATAGTCGACCGAAGTTGGGACTTAATTTCCAGACGTGAATTATTAGTAGTCGTCCAGGGATTCTGCGACGGCGTCAGTCCAAATATCTAGCCTAGCAGAATCTCAACAGGGATTAGCTCAACTAAAGTCCACCACCCTAAATCTATAACTTCTGGTTATAGAATAAAGTAATTTATGTCATTAAATTAAAAAAGTATGCCATGCAAATTTACCAACACCTCGGATACATTCATGCAAAAGATAATTAATTCAAGTACGGTGCACTGTCGTAATGTTGTCAAACGGTGCAACTTCACACCGAACTAGAAGAATTGACTAAGTTTTACTTGTCAATAAAAATAGAATAAATACAAATTCAAACTGCTAACAAATTACAAACTTTAAATAACAACTATAACTTTACTGGGAGAGACAATTTTCTGTGTCTCCCAGGGTCAGAATCCCGAGTGCACCGACAATCTAAATATCGCTGAATTTAAATATCAAACAAATCTAAGTTTCTAAATATTCAATATTACTTCAAACTGAATAAATGTTCTTACTGCGCTAAAATTTGTAATAAAACTATTTCAAAATATCTTAATACTTTAAAATTCTTACTTTATATAAATGCCTCGGATCAGGTGCACGGTGCTGTGTAAAGTGGAACTGTAAGCGGAATTCTGACAAACGCACTTTCAAAATCTCGTCTTTTATACCTTGACGCAATGGTGCAACGTCTACGTCATATGCATTTGTAAAACTTCAAAAACTATTCTTTAATCAATGTACTTGAATACTTTATTTTATTTATTAATACAACATCTATAAAACTCGTTAATTAATCTATGATTTTTATTCTAAATTAATCCAGACGTCTTATTTATAAAGTTCTGTAAAGAAAGTGTACAGGTATGTCGGCGCATGTAGCAACTTATCCGGAGATCCGTATTTTATACCATTCTGGATCTACAATTAGTGTCTAAAAGCCATTTCCAGTAAGCATCCAATAAAATAACGGTAATAATTCACAAGAGAATTTCTTTTCTTGACTATATTATAAGACTTTAAATACAATTTGATAATTCTAAGGACGCTCTTAAAGTTCAGTAACTCGTAATTAATCAGCATAACTACGGACAATCGCCATACAAAATGTAAACAATCATTCTAAGTTCTATAGAGAAATTGCCTATAAAATATTCATGCAGGCACAACAATATAAAGAAAGATGGAATGATTGGCGTCAATTTATATAAGCGTAGGAACGATGGAACATGGGGAGCCCCAATACTTTATTCTCAACAATGATTAATTTTAACGTGGTAGTGCCCCCCCCCCCCCCCGCCTCATGATTGAAATTATTTGGTTAAACCCTCTCCTTACCCAATCTGAAATATCGGTAATAGGTTTGCGGACTTGATCCTAACACCATATTATAGAGTAATGGGGCAGTTGGCGGTGCATTTTTAATTGAACATTAGCATCAATATTCAGACCCCCATCACCTGTTTTGATATTTTAAATATAGTTAACATGAGGATGCCTTATTATATACAATTTTGGAATTTAAGCCATTTGAAAATGTCCTGTAACAGTGTCAGTGTACTTAATATGAATGAACCAAATTTATCAGTCTTTCATCCATTTATTTATGATTATTTTGTTTTCCTACTTTTAAAGAATAAGAATTAGTTAAATGAAAGGAGTGGCTACGTCAATTTCCCCTCATTGAATACAAATGAAAACAATGACCCTCTGAATACCGGATACACACGAGAGTTGAACATCCTTTGTCCAGCAGCTGGTGGGATTTCCAGTGCAATATGTAATCCGATAGAGTGTTCTGCGTGTACATTACTCAGAAGAACTTAGTTTTATTGGTCTTTTTTGTATTTGTAGTCTATAAGGAAGTGATGTCCGTTTTAATTGGTGGACAGTGACAAGTGTTTCCAGAAAATGGGAGAGGTTGACCTAGGTTTTAAACTTTTTTTCGATGTATAGCTATAAACATGCATTACCTAAAGATCAAAATACGTTTTTTTTAAATTAAAGACAAAATTTGAATGATTGAAGCTTGGTGTACCCCATGCAGTCTTCATCCCCCCATTTTAGCTTTTCATTTGAATTAGTCTGGTACGTACAACTGAGATAGCATCTAAATTCGTGAAAGTGTAGTTTAAACCAAGAATTTAAACATTTTGCACAATGAAACATATTACATATCATTTTGTTTCTTATTATAATTGTTAATGTACTAATTTTATTCGGTTAGAATAAAAAGGTGTATTTATATAGAAAGCAATCGCCTTTGGATTTCCATGAACCTACATAGCGCTAAATACATTTCTAAGTAACCAACACCAACACCCCCCCCCCTTCAAAGAGAAGATCGAGATTGCGTTGTCTTGGGTGGATATGAGGGGGTCGCTGATTTTAAATGTACATAAAAAAATCAACAGAAGAAATACCTAATTCCTGTTTAGCTAGATCATGGTTTTGTTTTGGAGCCTGAGTCGTTACAAGGTCTTCGTCTATCACCGGAACGTTGTCTGTGTGTGTGTCTGTATGTGTGACCACGGTACCAGAACCCTCTTCTTCTACGCCCTCCTGTATATCACTAGGAAGATAAAGAAATTTATTGGATCAATATACATGTATCAATTATTCTTTTAATTTGGCAATGCGCCGACTCCTTAAAAAAAGCTAAAATGTCACTCAGGAAAATTCATCGATCTTTTTGAAATGTCTTACGATTTCTTACATTCTCCACACAAAAAAATATGCTTCAGTTTTTTTCTTCATATTATTATTTGAATAATACGTTAAAGAAAAATTTAAAACTTTATTACACCATCCAACAAAAATCGTATTTTTTTGGGAAAAGGGTTGAAGATCAGCAATTCTGTTGATGAGCTGAAAGCCATGTTTATAAAATAATGTGTTAATTTAATTTTTTCAAAAGGGGTTCAAAGAAATTTAGATAAAACTTTATGCATTTATGTATTCATTTAATTAAACTTGCTCTTGTATCACGTTCAGTTTTCCTTCAACGCAAGCCACGAGTCTTTTAATTACTTTATTTGTAAAGCCCAAAATAAAAGTTTTCATTGGGACCTGACTTCCGTAAGAAAAAAAATCTTCTATATCTGATTTTTTATCTTAATTTTTATATTGATAAACGTGAACTCAAGGAAAGAGATATGTACTGTGTATGCGTGTAAGGAAAGAGATATGTAAGTGTATATTTTGAATGTTCTTTTTATGATTTTTATCATTATTAAATTGTAAAAACAAACAAACTGCCTCCATCCCTCCACCACCGAAAAATCCAAAATAAATAAATAATAATTGAACTAAAATGACAATTATAGAATTTATTTAAAAAAAATCAAAAAGAGATTTGCATATTACTGCATGTAGTATAAACATTGAAAATTGCATAACGGAAGACAAAAAGGTGTTTTTTTAAGGAACTTTACAGGAACATTTTAAAATCGTTTATTTAAAAGATTTTTTTTTTCTTGAGGAACCTGGATGTACATGCGCTGAAAATTATGAGTTAAGTACTTTAGAACCCACCCAGTCATTTCGACATGCACAGTCAATGGTAACTCTTTAGTATTCGTCATCCAAAAGTGGAGGTATCTTGAACTTGTAAGAAGGACCGTGAGATACTTAAGTTCAAATCGATGTGAATGAAGCTGGTATACTCCGGCATGACGCCGTAAACACTAAAACAATGTCCTAATATACGCTATCCACATTCCGTCTAAATTCCATTAGAATATGTTCATTCCTTTCAAAGGTTTATAAGGCGTGTTGGGGGAAACTTAAGTGCATGTAAATATGTAATTAAAAAAATACTTTAAAGTTTTCATTTCGTACCCTTCTGTTTGATGAAATATTAATTTCCATCCGATTGGAAGGGTGGGTGGGGGTGGGGGCTATCCAGTCAGAATCCGTGATTATAGCATCAATCGATTTTCGATTGAAAATATATAGTTACTGAACTTGGACTTTCTAAAATTCAGGGAAATTTTATCTCAACTATTCCCATAACATGTAAAAGAGCTAGACTACAGAAAATTATTTTGGTTACTAATGTTAGATTTAAGTTTAACAATTTAAGAAATTCAAAACTTTGAATTTCTATAACTTAATTAAGTGTAATACATTGAACAAAAACATATTATACTGTACTTGTAAAAACGATTTCAATACTTTTGTAAGCTTGTTGGACACCCTCTGTTGAATGATTTTCATTTTAACTGTATTATGGGTTTGCTCTAGGAAATATAAATTAAGTACTATACCAAAGATATATATATCTTCTCTGACAACTCAATGCGTTTTATAAAGCCTCTTAAATAATCTTAATTTTAATCATTATTTTATGAAGAAATTTTTTTTGACGATGAAATAAAATGTAAATAATTCTTTTTCTTATGAAGTTAAAATGTAAAGTCAGCCTTAGAAAGTATCTCTATAAATTATCAAAGAAGTATAGATAATAAACGAACTTAAAATATACAATCGACAAAATTTTTGAATCTTAAAATCGAATGCAAACAATATTGAATAATTTAAAATTCACTTACCATATTGAACAAACGAGCAGATGAGTTAAACATAAACCTGTAAATAGGCGAGAGAAGTTCATGGTGATGTATGCTGGTGTTACCAAATGAGGGGGAAAACAATGTATCGTCTGCTGATACTGTCTGCTGTTTAAATATTACCCAGGATGACCTTTTGAGTGACATGGTGATGTCATCCTCGTCAGGAAATAGTAATGCTGTGAAATGCAACATGTACTTTGGAAACTCTCTCTCTCTCTCTCTCCTATCTCTCTCTCTCTCCATGGTTATAGATTAATATTTAATAGATACTTTTTTTCTTATTTTTGTTGAAATGATTATGATTTACAGTAAACCAACACAAACTCCCCCATCATCTAAAATTACTTTTGTTAAAATATAGTCGAAGATTGAAATTTCGGAGAATATAATCCTTTAAAATAGTTGATGCTTAACTCAGACCAAAAATCTTATCAATAGAGAGAGAGAGAGAGAGAGAGAGAGAGAGAGAGAGAGAGAGAGAGAGAGAGAGAGAGAGAGAGAGGGGTGTTGGGGAGTCATGGTATTCATTACATCGAAAAGTGATATATACAATATTTTTGCATATTTACTCTTCTTTTATATGATTAATGGAACCGCTGGTTTACATAATAAAACATTGTACAGTCATCTATTCGTTCCGTTGGCCTCAAAATGATTCAAAATTTTAACTTGATAGATAAAAGGCCCACAATATAACCTAAATTATGTGAAACTGGAAGTTTACATATTTTCTCTTTTTCTACCGTTTTCATATGCAAGTGCATGAGTGCTACTATAGTATTGAAAAAGAATTATTTATTTAAACTATTAATATATATATGATATGCAATTTAATTTTATGATACAGTTTTTTTTAATTAAAAAAAAAACGTGTAGAAAAAATACGGAAATTTTAACAATGCACGGCATCCATCCAGAATTATAATGTTCCTTGTAGCATTGTTACGTCATTGTATTTGTGACGTCACAATGGATTGACATTGATTCTGTAGACGTAGAAATCATGGATTTTAGCTATTCGTAAGTATTATATACAATAGTTTTTTTAATCATTGATAGCAATTATTATTTATTTATTGATATACATATAATTCAACTGTGGGTGTGTTTGGATATTTTTAGACTTCCGACGATCTGTGAAGAAAGAATATACGAAGATGAAGAGGAAATTCACCAAAGATATTTCAAGATGCTGGATAATGGTATATTTACATCTTTCATTATGTGTACTGATATTTATACGAATTGCATTTTAGAGTTTTGTTTAAAAAAATCATTCGTATCCATTTAGGACATTCAGTACTTTTAGCAGACACGACCGAATGCGAGAAACAGAGAAACTTCAACAGTTCTGGGTATATTTCCCACTCTTTCAATTTTTAAGACATATATTATTCATTTTTCAAAGTGGAGTCATTACTGTTTGATAATAGTAACACGTTTCTTTTCTTTCTTTTTTTTTTAGCCTTTATACAATATGCGAGGATGAAAATTATGAGGCTGAACCTGGAATGCAGATTGAAATTAAATCCGATAACGGTAAGTGTTGTACTTATTTTTTCAAGGACGTGATTTTATGTTTTGTCAAATTTAAGTTGCAATTGCATGTTTTAGCACAGTTTGCATGTATTATATTGTAGGAAATAAGTCATCCACTTCAAAGATGATGGGCCACTCTTCTGCTGAGCTCGACATTCAGCTTTCTAGGTACAGTGTAATAATAATCCCTTCACAATTTTCTCTCTCTTTCTTTCTCTGTTAATTAAATTGAATGATGATGAATTTATTTTAGCTTTGTCAGAGAAGAATTAGACGTTATTCCAGAAGATAAAGTGTATGATGACACAATGATTAAGCTGAGATATTTCTTGTCTAATGAGGGTAATTAAAATCATTTAAATTGAGATTTAATCAACACATGGATTCAATTGAATAAAAAATATATATAATCGATGATTTAAGATGTTGCTTCTAAGAATCGATTGTTGACAAGAAAACGTACTGAGTCAAGATTGAACGTGTGGGCAAACAGTTGTGTAAAACGGGCTAACATGGAATCACTCTTAAATACCGATTCACTTTATACTTTGCCACTTTTTCTTAAATCCTTTCCCTACACCCCTGATTTGACAAATATTACCCTTGTGCATTCTATTCCGATGCCATATTAGATAGTTTCACTGTACATGTATTTCTAACTGCAGCTGGAATACCAAGAAAATCCACCCCCGATGCCGTTAGAAAGATACAAAATGACACACTATTACGGTAAGATTAATTATATTCTGTGAGTTATATCAATGTATATCCCATCTCCATAAGCCTGTAAAAAAGACATAAAAAATAGACCTATTTTCAGTACGACATTTTTCGAAACGATTTCTATTATCAGGAAAATAGGATGGGGACTTAGGTTTTGACATATATATATATATATATATACCAAATAGCTAGTGTGATGTAAATGTATATCAATTTTGATTTGGATTCTATTGTAGACACTGGGTTAATCTCTGCAGTGAAAATATCCACGAAAAAAGAAGTCTTGAAAAGGAATTGCTGGGATATAAAGAAGACGATGGAGTATGCTGGCAGAAGTTTGCGGAGGAGAAACTTTCAACTCTTCAGGAAGAATGCGTCAAACTGAAAAATATTTGTGAACAGATGAAGTCTGACCTGAGCTCTCATGGTCCAGAAGTCTCTCTGTCAGTTGATGAACTCTCTGGACATATCCGAGAAATTTGTCGAGAACGAATGCGATGTTACAGATCTTCAGGAATGGAGGAAGAAAACATTCAAAGAAAAGAAAATTTGTTCCCACAAGGAAACGTGGAGCGTGTGGACCTACCAGCGGTTAACCAGCAAAACTTTGTATGCATGGGTAGCAAAAAGAAACTGCATGATGAAAGTGAGATAAGAAAAGCTGCTGAAAAGAATCATGCATATGCAAGTAGAAAAGAACAAAGCCAAAACGGAATGGGGCTACTTCAGGAAATTGAAAAGATTTTCAGAAAACCCAAAGTCAGTGACATCATATCAGAGAAAGCCCACAAAGAAAGTCAAAGCGGACTTTTAAGCCAAGGAAAAGATTTCGCTCTTAATGATGGATGTTCACATTTGCAAATCCATGGATCAAGCGGAAGTTCTGATTCACCACCATTTTTTTCACACTCTGTAAACGGACTTCACAACGGAGTTAAACTTCCACAAATTCAGTCGTGTCTACCAATGAAATCTGAAGTAAACCATTTTTTACATCAAAGCAAAAGTGTCTGCAAAATGCCAGAAATCCAAACCGCCAAAAAGCAGACCCGCCTGGAAACATGTTCTAGTGCGTCAGATCCAAACCAGACGACATGTAAGTTACCACCAATATATGGACAGGCAGTATATGAGAAGAAAACGACAACACGCACTCTAGCATCCCCTAAAATACTTCCTCCATTATTGAGCATCCCAAAGTCATCAAAAGAGATCCGAAAATGTTTCCAGGTCCCAAAACAAAAACGGCCTCTGATGTCCATCGGCAAAACAAATTCATACAATATTTTAATTATTGAGCACAGTGACAACAATACGCCAGCCAACCAGAAGAAAATGTCTAAAGAGCAACTCACTTCTGATAGGGATGAAGGTCATTACAAGGAAAAGGGGTTAGCATATGTAGAGGAAACTGCAACGGGTACCAAAGAGGTTAAAAAGAAACATAACAAAAACAGAATTCCTAGTGGCAGACGACATGGTCTTCAGTAGAAAAGGATATTAGCCAGGCACAAAGGTTGCTGCTGTTTGGAACGTTTACACATCTAAAAAAAAATGATTGTAAAAATTCTGTATCAATTTCAAAAACATTCTCCAGTAATACAACGTACTGTTGTTCTGAATTCTCTCGTACCAAGTTCACTGTACTGAATGTTATTTGCCATGAACACACAAATTTAAAATAATATTATAGCGCTATAAAACAGTACAAAATGGAGTATCCCTCCCAGTGAAGACGGAACACCGAGAAAGAAAGACAGAATTCTTCCAAATTGCAGAGTACACTTGTTTTCAGTGGACATACATGTATGTTCATGGAACATTTAAAAAAATAATACAAAAGATTTGTTTTAATGAATTCTCCTATATATATTATAGTAGTAACTTTAAAAAGATAAATATTTAAAAGAAATACAGTGTATTGATATCGTTAATTAGTATTAACTGTGAGAGATGTTTGAGAATTAAACAAATTGTTTGAAAGAAAAAGGTCAATCAGTATCAATGTATCATTGGTCGTAGGTACCTTTTGCCTTATCCGTGTTGAAAACACTCAACAAAGTTTATGCCCATATTAATTACTCAAATAATTTAATATTACCCCCGCCTCTATTCTAGATGTTATGTCATAACGATCAGTTGCTTCTTCAATCCATAAATGCACGCGCTTATTATACCAAATAAAATCATCAATTTTAATTATGTCAACGAATTTTAGTTATTTTTTAATTGATGGAATGAACTGAAGATGGCGATTCAATGACACCACAGAGTCTGTCACCATCCTTTCATATTATGAAGTTTTCCTGACTAAAGACGACAAATGGCAACTTACAGTTGGGCCTAAATTATTTGACAAGCAAGACGGCTTCAGCTTTTTCAATGGTTATTTTCCTCATTTACGAAGTACATCATCTGCATATGGTTTTTATATCTCCTAACATATTCGATACTCAAGAACATGCTTCAAGTACGATCAATCTTTCCATTGGCTACTGAAAAATAAGTTGATTTTCCCACGGATTTCAACAAACCCGCTCATTGTTACATAACAATTGTGAAATTTTTGTTTTTATACCATCGGGTGTAATCTTTTGTAACAATAGTTTTACAATATACCTGTGAAACGTTAGTTTAGGATACTTGCGGCTACTCTTTACTAATATTTGGATATTCTCAGATGCCTTTATTGACCAGATCTTCAAATAAGTTGGCGGCAAACACGTTTAACTAAAATCTCAAAATAAGTCCGAGTTCAAGGGAAAACAATGATTTAGGAGCCTCAATTTTTACATGCAATAAAAACGCAAAATTTCTGAGACAACTTATATTTGAGAAATCTAAGCGTTGTTAACAACATGTATTACAGAGCCTCATGGATAAATTCCTCAACCTTAAAAGGAATTTTCAAGTAGCTTGGTTCATTTATTTCCAAAATGTCTATTATTAAGCATACAAATTTCATTTAAGTATAAAGAATTGAACTCAAAAGTATGAGATTATAATACTTCTGCAGTGTATATAGTATATCAAGGACCTATATACTAGGTTACCATATTACTATGCTAGTATATAGGTCCCTGAGTATATCAAAATATTATAAGCATATTTTGCTGTTGCATGTTCACGCAATCTTTATCGCACTGAAGAGAATCATGGTTCAAGGGTATCCGATCCTCCGCCAGGAAGGATAACTCTTTAATCTATATTTTTATAGTTCAATTCAAAAGGCATTTTATAAAAGATAAAGCTTGAAATTGTAATCTTTTCATGCAACATTTTTCATTTTATGCATCTCTGTGTAATTCATTGTTTTTTAAGTTCTTAGATACGGTCTTTTAAACTATATATTTAAAGAAACTGAGTTTTCTCCAACCTAGCCTTAGATATCGAATGTTAATAAGCATGATATGAAATTAGAAGTTGTTTATGGCATTTTGCATTGATAGAAAAGGCTTTTTACCCCTCGCATTATGAAATGATTGAAGTAAACAGAAGAAACTTAAGTAAGTATAAGTAATTATATGACTATAAAAATAATGCAATTTTCTTCTGTCTGGTAACTTATGATAATTCATTCTAAAATGTAGATATTGATTAATTTTGAATTAGAAAATGTCAAGGGACCTATATACTAGTAATTTTTCCTGTGTAATGTGATCAACTTTATATGAAGTTTGAGGAATTACTGTGGGATAATACACAGTACTTTGAGAATTTAAAGACATTTTCAAAGATTCTACACCTGAATTTCTCTGAGGATCAGACTACCCTAAATCATACCATTTGATAAAATACTAGTATTCATTTGTATAAATTAAAATCAAAAAACAAAACTCGTTTCTCTCCATTTAATTTTTTTTTGGTGAAAATATTTAAGATAATATACAATTACAAATTTTATTAGACCACTTTTCACCTCTGTTTTTTATACCATGCATCAATGACGATGTTAGACTGATCCATTAATCATGACCGCAGAAAAGGTTGTATCTGGAATATATGAATACAGGTGAGTACCTGTGTCTACTTGTATCCAGACCCTGTCCCCCACCTGTAACTGGTGGACAACAAGGTTGGAGGCAGAGAGGTAGACAGTAAGAGACCCATTCAAATAAGCCATGACTCCTGCCTTAACCGATCCATTTATCATTATTTTCGTCCAGAAAGTTTCTTTGTAATATGCCACATTAGTACAGAATATAAGATACAGTCCAGTCTTTGGGACAGTAAACACTCCTGTTGTAGGGTTATATCCTCCTCCCACTTGGTAGATAATCTGTTTGAATATAACAGTTTGTCCAGGCGAAAATACTTGAGTATCACTGGATCTTACTCCCGCTGTAAAAGCAACGCTTGTCTCAAAACCTTTAAGAAAAAAAAAAAAACAAAACAAAAAAACAATTTATTACCAACTAAAGTAAAACTTCATAGAAATATTGCGTAATATACAATTCAAAATAATTTTAAAATCATCTACAAAATTGTACGACACCTTCAGTTTCAGAGTGATCCTCTCTTTACATTGAGGTAATTCCAAAGTTTTAAAATGGCAATACTTTACGAAGCTTGTATGGCACCATGACATTTCTGTTTAAGTATTAAACATTGTATTTGAGGGATATTTTAAAGCAATATGAGCTGCATTTTTGAAAATTCTATTTTGCTGTTAAAATCTGTTATTATGATTAATTTGTACGCAACTTAAACCTTTACGATCAATTCGACTAAAATAAAGCAGAAGTAAGACTTTTTTATACTGTAAATCACTTTTTATTTGCTAGAACTTTATTTTCACGTAATTTCGCGAGACAAAGTGCTCGTGAAAATACGATTCTCGCGTATATTAGTATTTCTATGGATTATATAATTAAAAGCAATCACTATAATTCGTGAAAATTTTGTCTTGCTCATAAAGAGGCAATGCCTATCTAGCGCAAATAAGGTGTCACGAAATTTAGTGATCAACAGTACAACCCCATATACAGTTTTATATAAGAAATCATTATTGTACAGGATGACAATAATGTAATTTTGATTCAACCAAAGCTTATAAATAGTTCTTCCATCGCACAAATGAACAGAAGTTTATTAACGTTATTTTTTCTGTCTTTGAATTAGTTATTTACAATTTTGCAATAAAAAAATTCCGACTTCAAAGTTGCAGCTCATATTGCTTTGATAATTCTGAAAACTTATTGTAAGTCTTATCGTTGAATATAGATGTTATACTGTTACATTGTACTTATTTTTTGTTGGCAGAGTTGTTTAAATCTGGGAAAACTCAGCATAAATATATTGTCGGGAATAAATACTAGCAAGATTATTATAAATTATATAAACAAGACGTGTTTGTGAAACACTGATGCCCCCATATGGCAACATAGCAAAGATTAAACTTTTCTTAATGCAAATTTAATTAATTAGTACCAAACGTAGGGTATTCTCACTGGAAAACAATTGTGAAATTTTAAAGTATGCCAAAGTTAAGTTTTTTTTCAATAAGTACAAAAATCTTCAAGGTCATGGTCAAAAGGTCAAGGTAATTGGTATCCAATGAAAGATCTTGCCACATAGAATACATATGTAAAGTATGGAAGCCTTATCCTTAACCGTTCAGAAGTCATGGACAAGATTAAACTTTTTTTAAAAAGAAAGGTCAAACTCCAAGGTCAGGGTAAAGGGTCAAAGTTTTCATTATCAAATCAAAGGTCTTGTCACAAATATTAAATATGTAAAGTATGAAAGCACTAGCTCCACCAACCCTTTAAATGTTAAAGGTTAATGTTTTTTCACAAGAAGGGAAATCTATAAGGTCTAGGTCAAAGGGTCAAGGTTGTTGGTATCTAATGAAAGGTCTTTCAACAAATAATATATATATATGAAGTTTAAATGTCCTGGTGTCTACTGTTCAAAAGATATGACCAAAGTAAAAGTTTAAAATTTTCATTTAAAAGTGGGTCAAATTCCAAGGTCAAAGGTCAAATTTGGTGGTACCCAAAGAAAGGTCTTGTCACAAGGAATACAAACGACAAAAACTATATACCCCCGAAACTTCGTATACGTGGGCATAAAAATTAAACTTGAAAATATTATAGATATTAAAGTAACGCCTTTGCATACATACGTGTTTTAAGATCGGAAAGAGAAGAACTTAATTTTGTCGTACTGCTGTTCAATAAAAAAGTGAGATTTTGAATTCCTGCCTGCGTTATTGCTGTGCTGTTGTTCAGTGAATAAGTGAGATTTTGTATTCCCGCCTGCGTTAGTTTATGTTGTTCCGTTTGTGTTTTCTGTTGTTGTTGTAGTAACAGTCCTAGCGCTGTGATATTATTTTGAACATCCAAAAAGGAGAGGGATATATATCTATCATTCATTTTAAGGGTATTAACGACAGAGGTTATATTTTTCGGCACTTCCTGCTCTCTCCTTTGAAAAATATTTCTTAATGTTTGGATGTCCTCCGAACTAGATTTGTTCAATTCCATAATTGCAAGTGATAGATTCTGTGTCTGTAGTTTTAGTTCTTTTGTGATATCATCGACATTAGAATAATTTTGTCGATAGAAAGTAGAATTCAGGCTGAGTAGTTTATCTTTCAATATACCGTTTTCACTTTTAACTTCTTGAAATGAAGCTTCTAGGTGCTGAATCGTGTTGTTCAGCGACTCTATTAATTTCTGTTGTTGTCGATGCTGTTCTTCAAAGGTTTTCTGTTGTTGCAGATTTTGTTCTTTCAATGCTGTCATTTCCTTATAAACTGAATTTAAAGTTGTTTCAAGATGAAGAAGTTGCTTGTACACATCAAGATCGGTATGTACGTTAGAAGATGCAGAAGTATTCGAGTTTCCATGAAGCAATGCTCCAGAAAATGAAATAATAGATAGGATCAACACAATGCCTGTAAGCCATGCCATAGTTGATCGACTTTTTGAGATACATGAATAACGCAAGCAAGTTCTTTACAAGTAAGATAACACAGTAAAAAAGAGTATAAATTAATTTTAAAATCCTAAACTAACTAGAAACAGAAGAATTTAGCAAGGCATAATCAGTTTGATTTGAAAAGACAACCTGAAGATCATCTTGAATAAAGAATATGTACAGGATAAAACATTCCGTGGGATCGGTGGTTATTCACATGGCAATTAAAAAAAATTGATGTTCATTTAATTAGCAGTCAATTTGAAAATAATATTTTAAAATGCTCATGTAAAAACAGATATACATTCAACTTTAACTGATCGATTCGTTGATGAAGCAATCCATGACGAAATTAGAGAAAAGAAGTGCAAACGAAAGCATTGTTCTCCCGCCTACCTCCAAGTTAATTTTCAAAAGTTAACATATTCGATGATTTTTTAAATATTTTTTTAATAGATAATTATATGAATTTTCATAAAACATTACTTATTTGGGAAAACAAAGAGAGATAACTCTAAGACTGGTAAAACTTGTGTTTTTCACTATAGAAATTAACGGAAAATATTTTTAAAACATACCCAGTGACACAATTTTTTTTTTAAAGTAATATGAACTGTTATTTCACAAATTCATACCAAATCTTTTTGCTTGTCATGAGGGGGGGGGGGGATATGTTTATTGACAAAAAATGACAAAAACGCTTATTTTCCACTAATTTCAAAGCGATTTACAACTGAAACATTATATTTTATTTATATATTTATGGTTTATTTATTTGCCTAAAACATAAGAAAAGATATTAGAAATATTTTATTATATCCAAGACTAGGCTATTCTAAAATATGATGATGCTTTGAAAGTTCGATTTCAATGGAAAATGTCGTCTACCCCTCTTTTTTCAACAACTGGAATTATGGATGATTTACTATTTAGCGCTGGTATTTTGACAATTCATCAATTACCATTGAACTGTTCTTTGTATTAAACAAAGATTTTATGGCCAAATTGCCATTTATATTGAATTAAAAGGGTGGAAAATGTAGGCGGGAATGCTCTACGTATGAACAATTTCTAAAACGAGGTAAATTATTGACAAATAAGTTGGTGAAACAAGAATATCAGCAGTCTTGTTCAAAGTCATCATTTCGTAAGTTCTATGGTCGATACAATAACCTTGTCAGCAAATACAATTTATCATTGAGTCAAATGCTGACTGACATTTTTCATACTAATTGTTAGTCCATTATTATACACTGAATTGACGACGGATTTTTCCGTTATTTCCCGCTCATGACAAGGAGCACACGGCGGATGTGACCGGTCGGCAGGGGATGCTCGCTCCTCCATGGCACCTGATCTCCCCTTTGATGTTTTGGGGGTCTGTGTTTGCTCTGCTGCTGTCTCGTATTGTTTTATGAACTTTTAATCTTGAATACTGTTCGTTTCTACATATAGCAGTATTATATGCATATTTAGTTGTTACAGGTTTACACAATATTATCGCACTGAAAAGAATCATTCTTTAAAACATATCAGTTGATAACATATCCATTTGTATATATTAGTAAAAAAAACTCGTTTCTTTCCATTTAATTTTCATATGAAAATATTTGACATAATTGACAAATACAAATAAATTTTATTCGAAAAATGTTTACTTCTGGTTATCTTATATACTGCACCAGAAACGATATTACAATGATCCATTGATCATGATGAGAGAAAATGTTGTATCTGAATAAGATGAGTACAGATGATTTCCACTGATTACTTCTATCCAGACCCTGTCTCCAACCTGTAACTGGTGGACAACAAAGTTGGAGGCTGACAGGTAGACAGTAACAGACCCATTCAGATAAGCCATGACTCCTGCCTTTCCTGAACCATTAATCATTATTTTCGTCCAGAAAGTTTCATGGTATGCTGCCACATTAGTACAGAATATAAGATACAGTCCAGCCTTCGGGGCGGTAAATATTCCTGTTGTAGGGTTATATCCTCCTCCCACCTGGTAGATAACTTGCCTGAAAATAACTGTTTGTCCAGGAGAAAATACTTTGTTATCACCGGATCCGACCCCAGCTGTAAAAGCAACGGTTGTCTCTAGACCTTGAAAAAGAAAAAAAATACAATCGATTACCAATTAAAGTGAAACGTAACAGGAAAATTGTTTAATTTACTAATGCGAGGGCCGTCCAAAATTACGCGGACTCTGCTAATATTTACTCTTACAGACGTCATATAGTTATAAAATTTCACAGAAATATGTATCTTAAAGATTTCAATAAATTTAGGGGGCAAAATTTCTGTATTTTGAAAATTCATCTTTGTTGATATCACCGATGGAGAGGTACAGAGCACGACAAAAAATTTAAAATAAAAGCATGCGGAATCTAAAATTTTACTCATTAATTTTCTATAATTTGCGATATTTTTCGACAATTTTTCAAAAATGTATCTTTATATTGCTCTATTAATATGTATTTAGATTTCTGACTTGATATTTGAAGTACTGACAGAAATAAAGTGATTTTTCTCCGATGCAATTCCTGTGAAAACGACTGTGAAAATGACGTCTCCTGAATTGACGGAGCACCAAACTTTTGTTAAATTATGTGAAATGCTCGAGATATCGCCAACATATATCCAAAATATGCATAATAAAACGTGTAGTAAACCAGGGTATTCGGGACATTTGTTTACAAATAGCAAATTGGAATTTTAGACCGTTAGACCTCTATAAAAAGGCTATACGGGAGGACTGGAAGATAATCAACGAAAACTTTATAATCAGGACTGTAAAGAACGTAATTGAGAGTGACCAATCACACTTTATTCCATAAATACCTGCAGATTTTAGTTTCAAAACATAAAAAAAATGCTTTACTATTTTTAATAGAGTTAAAGCTTAACAAGAAATGGTGTATGGATGTTGAGTAGATAACGTAGGTAAAACTGTACATGAACTCTTGGGAAAATGTTGAGAACATGCAAGTTCATGTTATTTTTAGAATGTCCGTGACGTCGAAGATTTAGCTGCTCCATGACTTAATAATATGTCCTGATAAATCAACCAAAATTGATATCAATTAATAACAACATTTTAATATGAAATTTGAAGACCATATAAGTAAAGATTCTTTTATATTATGTGTGACATTTTGCCCCATGACTGAGAATGTCGTCAAATATTTTTTTCTGTGCAACAATTCCGCGTAATTTTGGAACGGCCCTCATATAGATACTTTTTAAAATCATTTTTGAAGATCGTTTACAAAAGTGTTCGACACTTTCCGTTTTTCAGAGTAATCCTCTGGTAATAAAGGTGATTAAAGAGTCTTATGCTGTTCAACCAGAGACTACAACATTTTACAAAAGATGTATGGCACCATGAAATTTCTTTTTAAGCAGCATTGTTTATTAAGGATTTTCTAGCAATTCTGAAAAGAAGATGAAGGGGGGGGGGAGGGTAAGGCCGGCGAAGTGCCTATAGTGCGATAGATAAGAAGTGAAAATTTTAATCTCAATTAAATCCAAATTATATTTGAAATTTCATTTAATATTAAAGCATTCTTTATGTAAAATCTCTACAATTTACAAAAATCTCACAAAAACAGAAAATATTTGCCTATGAAAAAGCTTACACACACTAAAAAGAACAAAAACGATCATTTTCTCGTAGTTTAACAAAATTTTTCAATACGAGTGGGTCTTCGCTCCATTTTTTTGAAAGATGATCCTAAAAGTTTGCAATAAAATACACATTTTTTGGTTTACAAAAACATGGAGCGAAGACCCACTATACCTTAAAAGTACACTTTTATGACACAACATTCGCATCTTTCTGAGAAATACTTCAAGTCCATTAAGTCGCGGGTCATACAATGAAGCGCATTGAAGTGGTAAAATTTTCCGTTTGGATGGAACGTTTTGAGCTATCTTAAGACACGCCCATTTCTTTAGAAAAGAAAAATCGGTCAAATGATTCAATCGAATACCTGTAGAACAGGTATTCCATAAATATAGTAGCCAATCAAATTGACGGTCTGCATAAACACCGAGTAAGCACGTGTTCGACCGATACATGTGTTATGCTAACTCCTATAAACATAATATAATCATATTTATGTACAAATTCGTTGCAATGCGTGTTTTACAAAAGCGGGGACTCTCTATATAGTTTTTTTTTATTTAAAAATCTTCAATTTAGTGTAACTCAAGTTGCTTGTCGCGGAAAGTGGGGTGCCCTAAAACATTACGACGAATATTTCTTTTTCGTTTCTAAAGAAATGGGCGTGTCGTTATGTTATAATTGACGGTCAAAGCATGGCTCAGAACGTTTCACCCAAATGGAAAATTTTACCACTTCAATGCGCTTTATTCTATCACAAACATGATTTAAATGCCCAAAATCACCACGAGTGATGTAGCATATAGTGGTTAACGCGTTAGCTGCTATTGATACGTCGGATTTTTATTGCTTGGGTTCGAAGCCCACGAATACCATCTATTTATTTTTATGAAAGAATTTTTTTAAGAGATTTTTTTTTTCTCAGAAAAGATTTTTTTCTTATAATTTCAAAAATTTCAATAATAAGAAGTTAATTGAAATACTCAATTCACATATTGAATACGATTTCTCAATATCGGACGCTATAGGCATTCTGCCCGCCTTGTTCCCCCCATCTTCTTTATTGCAAGTCTTATCGCTAAATATAGATGTAATTGTTAGTTATTTTCGTTGGTAGGGTTGTTAAAACATAAAGTCAGGAATATACCAGCAAGTTTTTACATTATATAAGAAATTAAGCTTTATAGTTGCATAAATAGTAGCGCTTTTGCATACATACGTGTTTTAAGGTCGGAAAGAGAAGATCTCAGATTTGTTGTGCTATTATTTAGTGAAAAAGTTAGATTTTGAATTCCCGCCTGCGTTAGTTTATGTTGTTCCGTTTGTGTCTTCTGCTGTTGTTGGAGTGATGATCCTAGCGCTGTAATGTTATTTTGAACATCCAAAAGGGAGAGCGATATATATCTATCATTCATTGTAAGGCTGTTGACGACAGAGGTAATATTTTTCGGTACTTCCTGTTCTCTAGTTCTGATGATATTTCTTAATGTTTGGATGTCCTCCGAACTAGTTTTGTTCAGTTCCATAATTGCAAGTGATAGAGTCTGCAGTTTTAGTTCTTTTGTGGTATCGTCGACATTAGAATAATTTTGTTGACAGAATTGACAGGTAGAATTTAGACTATCCAGTTTGCCTTTCAAGACTCCATTATCGCTTTTTAAACTCTGAATTGTCTGGTTGAGCGTATGAATCAATTGTTGCTGTTCTTCAGATGTCTTCTTTTGTTGCAGGTTTTGTTCTTTCAATGTCGCCATTTCTTTATAAACCGACACCAGATTTGTCTCAAGGTGAAGCAGTTGTTTATACACATCTGGATCAGTATGTTTATTTGAGGGTACAGAGACATTGGAGTTTCCATGGAGCAATGCACCAGAAAGGGAAATAAAAGAAAGAATCAACACGATACCAGCAGTCCACTCCATTTTTGAAGGACTTTATTTCTGATAATGTACATGAAATTTATATTGCAAATAAGATGTCGGATTTAAAAAAAATCTATGAATAAATTTTTTTAGATCTACTCGGTAACTAGAAACAGAAGAATTTCGCAAACATGAATTTGATATAAAAGATAACATGACCCTCATTTAAAAGATGCACTGATTTTGAACCTATCGATTAAAAAGTTAATGAGAGTTTTTACAATTTATTATTAAGGAGAACATTCCTCGTCTGGAATTCACAGAGATCTGTTACTACCACTAGTTCAGAATCTGAATTTAAGAGAGTATAAGTAAAACTTTGAGCCTTACTATTAGTTAGATTAGATTACTATATACAATAACGATACGTAAAATGTGTCGCCTTTGTTGAAATCCCAAATTTGCATTAAACAAATACAGTAAAACTTAATTACTGCGAAACACTTAACTGAATTTAATTTAGGCTTATAGTGAGGTGAATCCTAATTTTTACTTTTTAAAGAAATGAACTGATAAAAAATAACGACTTACGTGCATAGCAAATAAATATAAATTGTTTCTTTATTATTGTTTTGGTTGTAAACTATAAAAATGCGTGATGATAAATTAAATCCATGCTTAGAAATTACGAGTGATTGTTAAAATCTATTTTTACGTAGTATTAGAATATTTTGTGAGAGCAAAAATGCTTCCCCTGGTATTACAAAATACATTAAAATTATCATTTTCTTGTTATCTTAAATTGATTAGAGAAGAGAGGGTCAGCCTAGAGTCTGCATACATCACAATAACTTAGGCCAAAATAAATTTATTGTTTGTTTGGAATTGCCTCCCGCCTCATTGAAATGCCCCCTCCTGAAAAAAAAAATTATTGACCAAAAGTAGGAAGATTTTTAATCAATTGTTTACTCCTTATCATATGCACCATACAAAACACTGAAATGTAGTGTCAGATCTATTGCAAAATTAGGTTTCTTTGATGATTGTAGATACTTTTTTAAAGTCAGAAAATGTATTTAATACTGTTTATTGAGATTTTTATCAAAAATTTAAAATTTATTTTCAATTAAAAAAAATATTATTTCCCTCCCTCCCTCCTGTGTCTGAAACCCTTCAGGCGGCAATTCCAAACAAACATTTTTTTAAGGATGACCTTATGGAGTAATACATATGTTATAGCAGAGCCGGGTTTTGATACAAGCAATTTTCCTCTCCTTCTGGTCTTTTTATTTAAACAAGTAAATGTACCCGCAGTTTTAAAAAATCGGGACTGTTTTGTACCGGTGGTAAGGAAAGGGCAAATTTTCTAAGTCATATTTGGGAAAATCCGGGGTTGCTGACTCGGAGTTCGTCAATTATTACAGAACCTCAAAAGTAAGTTCCTGCTACCTTGAAGAGAATTTATAAGGCAGTTTGGTTCATTTTTCCCAGCAATTTGTTTTAAACTTACAAATTTCATTTATGTTTAAAGCATTGAAATCAATAGTACGAGATTATAGCACTAATACAGTCTAATATCAACAATTTTACGGTATGTAAGCAGTTTTCGCTGTTACAAGTTCACATAATCTTTATCTCGCTGAAGAGAATCTTTCTTTAAAACATTTCATTTGATAACATATTCATTTGTCCATAAATCAACAATAAAAAAACTCATTTCTCTCCATTTGATTTTTATTTGAAAATATAAAAATTCTCCATAAATACATATTTTATTTGACAACTAATAAATTTTGGTTTTCTTATACCGTGCACTTCTTCACCATGCTAGAGGTTCATGGCGAGTACTTTTGACTTGGCGCCGCGTAACATCTGAGGTATATACTCTAGTATAATGAGCGTAGGAAGGATTTTACTTGTAGGAGTAACCTGCACCAGAGACGATATTAGAATAATCAATTAATCATGAGGACAGAAAATGTTGTATCTGGAAAATTCGAGTACAGATTACTACCTCTGAATACTTTTATCCAGACTCTGTCCCCCACCTGTAACTGGTGGACAACAAGATTAGAGGCTGATTGGTTGATATTAATAGATGATGCTCCAACCAATGCCATGACTCCTGCCTTAACTGAACCATTAAGCATTATATTTGCCCAAAGGGTTTCATAAGCATCTGCCACACTGGTACAGAATATCAGATAGAGTCCACCCTTTGGGGCAGTAAATATTCTGTTGAAGGGTTATATCCACCTCCCACTTGGTAGATAACCTGTGGGAATATAATAGTTTGTCCAGGTGAAAATGCCTATTATCGCTGCCTCCAACTCCGGCTGTAAAAGCAACGGTTGAATCTATACCTTGAAGAAAATAAAAACAAGTACAAATAATGTGATTGTTTACCAATATAAGTTGGTATGAGGGATATCCTAATGGTTCTGAAAACTTATCGCTAAATGTAGATGCACGAACTACAAAATTTTTATTGTTGTAGTCAAATAAATATATAACTGGGAAATGCTAAATATAAATATGAAGTTCCAACATGAAATATCATGTAGTTAGAATACTATCTTATTATAAAAAGGGTAAAAGATATTAATACATGATTTCATAAATATTAAATAAAAACGCCTTTGCATACATACGTGTTTGGAGATTCTTTATTCCCACCTGAGTTAGTTTATGCTGTTCTGTTTGTGTTTTTTGCTGTTGTTGGAGTGATGCTCCTAGCGCTGAGATGTTATTTTGAACATTCAGAAGGGAAAGCGATAAGTATCTATCATTAAGTTTAAGGCTATTAATTACAAAGGTAACATTTTTCGGTCCTTCCTGTTCTCTAAGTTTGATGATATTTCTTAATGTTTGGATGTCATCTGAACTAGATTTGTTCAATTCCATAATTGCAAGTGATAGAGTCTGTGTCTGAAGTTTTAGTTCTTTTGTGGTATCATCGACATTAGAATAGTTTTGTTGAGAGAACGTAGAATTCAGACTGTGAAGTTTATCTTTCAATATACCGTTTTCACTTCTAACGTCTTGGAATGAAGCTTCTAGGTTCTGAATCGTGTGGTTCATTGTCTCTATCAATTGCTGTTGTCGTCGATGCTGTTCTTCAGATGTTTTCTGTTGTTGTAGATTTTGTTCTTTCAATGCTGTCATTTCTTTATAAACTGAATTTAAAGTTGTTTCAAGATGAAGAAATTGTTTGTACACATCAAGATCGGTATGTACATTAGAAGATGCAGAAGTATTCGAGTTTCCGTGAAGCAATAATGCTCCAGAAAATGAAATTATAGAAAGGATCAACACGATACCTGTAATCCTCTTCATAGTTGAACTAGCTTTTGAGATAATGCAAGCAATTTTGTCGCAAGTAAGATAACATATCAAATGTAACGGGATAGCGCTTAATGGCTATCCCACTTCTGACACCAAAAATTGTAGCGAGATAGCGTCCAACGACTATCTCATTTAAGTATTGCTATAGTGGTTCTAGAAGACAGGAGTAAACTCCCTTTTTAAACACTGAGTAAACAACTCTAACTCGAAATTTAAGTTTTATAAATTTATTGAGTCTGAAAAACCAACATGAACAATTTTAAAACAAAAAAAAAAAAATATCCAGGCCTTTTAACCACCCTTTTTACTGACAAATTTCACAATATTAAATAAATCCTAATAAACAGCCGGATCTCGAAATTATCGAAATATATGGCTGAAACCTACCTATTAAACTTAATTATCAATGAATAAAAGATTATTAACAACTGGAAATTCAGATACGATCGGATCCTGAAATAATCAAGATATATGATCGTAAATTAATCCCCAAAAGCTGTTAAAATTAAACTTTTCCCCAATTAAATTTAACCATTTACCGAATTACAATTAACTGATTTAACAATTAGCAAATAATTACCAATTTTGTCTAAAAGCCCAAAATAATTATGTTAACCCTAACATCAGAAATAGCAGACTCCCCGAATTACGGAAGAATCTCCCCTTTTATACTCTTGTGAAAATTCGTATACAAAATTCTTACGAATTCGTATAAATTCTTACGGAATATACGAAAAATACGGAAAATCTTATACGGAAAATAGTTCCATTAAGATAATTAGAACAATAATAAGTATTTCACCATAAAATAACTTGACTTTCATTCATTCAACAATAATTAATTAATTAATTACCTTATAACTGTACATTTTCACTTCTATACAAAACTCCAAGGACGTATAAATAATACCGCGGATCAAGAGAAAAATAAACCGGAAGTATACCACAATGCAATGCGCCGCCATGTAAATAGAAAAATAGACGGTCTGCAATACTACAACATGTGTTAGCACAGTACAGGTAAAATAAAAGTGAAAAATGTAATTTAAACAAAACATCTAGCAGTTCATACTCATTCAACAGCATTTATACAATTATTTCAACAAGAACATCATTAATTACGAAAGGATATGCATGTATTACACATACTCGTTCTACTTTCACTTTGCATACGATGACATGATAAGTTGTGAATCCAATTTTAGAACTTTACATAATAAATGTACAATACATACGATCAAATTACTCAAATCGTGAACCAAAGAAAGTGTTAAATGAATATGCCAAGATTTGTAATTTAAAGACAAATAAAATATTGGGACTTGAAATGACCAAACTTTACACAAATATCTATATAAAACTTACTGAAAATCTGCAAGTAAACTAGGAACAGGGGAATTTTTGCAAAACACATTAAGTTTGACCTGAAAAGACGATTTGAACTTTATTACAGACAAAGGAAATGTACTGATGAAACATCTCGGGGGATGGCTATTTCACAGACATAATCGATCAGTATGTATGATTAATACCTATCTATTCATTAAGGAAGTGATATACACTGTAAGATTCAAGAATTTACCACAAATTAAGTTTGCATAACTGCAAAATTAAAATATTTTTTCTAGGAAAAACTATAAATACATTCAGACAAAGATTGTCCTGTTATGTACATTAAAAACACTGCCAGCGTTTTCATCAAATCGGACACTTATAAAACTAGAAGTCTCTGTCGAGACTGAAGCTCTACTGGTTTGTACTTAAAGCAAATGAAGAGAAAA